AAATGTCAAAATAAAGACCAAGTTAAAATTTTAGGTAGTATCAATGTTTTATTGAAGTTATTTGATGTATTCTAAAAAACTGCCATCTGAAGTTATTAGGCAAAACCAAATAATCACATTTCACTTCAATAAAAAAAGTAATAAAGTCATCAAAAATTGATCAACACTTGTAATAGAACAAATAACAAACACGTCTTAGAATCCTTTACATTTTAATATAGTGAGCCTTCTTCTCAATGACAGCAAGTAATGTCATCTATTGATTTTGTTAATTTTTTTTACTTCAGCAGGTTCAATTTCCAACATGGTAGTTTTAAATGCTTTCCATAGGTCTGTTTTGCTGTTATATTGTCTGGCACCTTCGTATAATTGCATCTTTACAATGGACCCTAGATATTATTTAATTAAATTTTTTGCCATTTATCAACTGATGTCACAGGAACATAACCTCAAAATCAGGTGGCCGGAAGTCATCTCCAACAACCAACTGTGGGACAGGACCAGACAAGCCCAATTAAGATTGACATTAAGAAACGGAAATGTTGGGTTTGTTGATTCGGCACTTGATGTCTTCATCTGTCCTTGGAGTAATTTATCAGGCAGACATTTGTACCTGTGCATATCCAGACATGTGTTGACTTCCACTTTCTTAAGATGCAGACCAAATGAGCCATTGACAATCAGTAGAGGAAGTTGTATATATTCATGCTATGCTGTTGACATAAAATGAGTGAAAGGAATCTGGAGAATCAGATTAACATCAAGTTTTGTGTGAAGATTGGTAAAAGTACCAATGAAATGTTAGACATATTAAAAATGGTTTATAGTGAACATGATGTGAAGAAATCAAGTGTTTTTAAGTGAAAGAAATAATTCAAGGAAGGGCAAGAAAACGTGCACAAAAATGAGCTGCTAAAAACACAAAGAAAAGATGTAAATGTGAACAGAGTACAAAACTTGATGCATACAAATTGAAGATTATGTGTCCAACTGATAGCAGAAAAATTGAATATGAAAAGGGAAACAGTGGGACATATTCTAGGAGAGGATTTGGGAATAAGAAAAATTTCCTCAAAGATGCTACCTCAAATCATAACTGAAAGTAGAAGCAATATAGTTCCATGTTTTATCTAATCTTTTAAATACTGCAGATATGTCTGACTGGGTCATTACTGATAATGAAATATGGTGTCTTCAATACCACCAAGAAACAAACCACTAGAGCATGCAGTGGAAAACATAGAATTCACCTCAATCAAAAAATGCATGCATTTCTTGCTCACAGTTCAAAACCACACTTGTCTTTCCTTTGATCACGAGGGGACAGTTTATTATAAATTCTTAGCACAAGGATAATTTGTCAATGAACATATTGTTTGAAAGTACTGAAAGTGATACAATTATCTGTTGAAAGGGAAAAACATGAAATCTAGCCTAACAATGCTTCTGCATGTTAGGAGTTTGCAACTTCCTAGCTAAGAAATCCATTACAAAAATGAACCATTCACCTTATTCACCAAAATTTGCTCATTGAAAATCTTGGCTATTTCCAAAATTGAAAAATTCTCTGACTGGTCAAAAATTTACTGATATCTCTAATATGTGTAAATTACATGAAAAAATTGCTCAAAACTGTAATTGTTGTTACACCAAACCCAACTATTATTTTAAATATTATGATAATATAAATATAGCAATAATTCTTAATAAGTAACTGGAAGAGACAATTGTATCTTGCATCCAATATGCTATAAATAGAACCCTTTACTAGATTCATTTACTTAACATTTTCTTTACACTCATTTCTATCCATAATGGAAAACTTCAATTATATAAAAATTGTCTCATGCACATCATGAAACAATTTCAGATTAGATTACATCATGCAATAACATCCTTAAGAAAAGAACACATTTATATACATATGTGTGTGTGTGCTTACATAAGAAAATTAAATACAATTTAAATAAATTTTTCTCTTAAAATTATGCAAATGGGCATTTTCTAAAAACCTAGTAGTTTATTTAATAAGTTTAAATAGAGCAACATTTTTTCTGTAGTTTTAATATCTATACAAATAGACATGTTAAAAGGGACTATATATATATATATATATATATTATATATTATAAATTAATTGATTTAAAATATGGTTATTTTCGCTACACAGTTCCAACCATGTTTCAAAAATAGAAGCTAAAAACCCCTAATTTTATTTTTGCAAATAAATTAAAAGCATTAGTTCCATTTCATCTTCAAGCGAATTTTGGAGTAACTTTTAAAATTTACCGGGTTTTAAATACACAGCTAAAATCACGTTTCCATGGTTACAGAATATTCTACTCAAATTGAACACGGGTGTCTAGATTTTCCTTATGACAGTATCATTGTATCAGTTATTAGCTACATTTTTGGTAAGGGGTGAGGATGTATTTTACACTGAAACCTGACGTCGGTTGAATGGATGTCGTCTGAATTTAAAAAAAAAAAAAAAAAAATTGTTAACGGTAAAAAAAATTTTCAACGTCATCTTTTAAAATTAAAGATTTTTTTACAATACTTTTTATTTAACTACGATTTGAAATATTTTTCCTTTTTAATTTTTATTTTACTATATTCTTTTTTAAGAACAGTCAAATGTATTAGACTCCATTATATTATGTAGGATTATTTTAACATTAAGTTTAATTATGTATATGAGGTTACATTTTTTTTTTTTTTTTTTTGTATATGACTATGACAGCAGAAATGGTTACTTAATTTCACTGATTCAGTAAACTTTTCTTTTATATATAAACCTATTATTATAATATTTCACATGTAACTACTGAGGACATGGGTCATTCAAAAGCTTACATGTTATGGTATTTCATATTAATTTTATTTTACAATAGGTGTTATTTTTGGATTCTTTTTAATGCGTGTAGTATTATTTAAAAGAAATTTAGGTTAGAATTCATTCAATTTAACTACAATTTTAATTACAAATTCAAAATTACAACTTTAAAATTTTAAAATATTTTCATTGTTTAGTTTTAATAGACTATATTACTTTATAACAGAAGGAAAATTACTCATATTAAGTAAGATTATTTTTCCATATCAAAGTATATGTAAATTTTTTTTTTTTTTTTTTTTCTTTTCTTCAAATTTAAATATTATTTAAGTAATATTAATGGCACTTACTACAAAACTAGCTAAGTCATTTCTCAGATTTAGTAAACTTTATTTATTTATTAATTAATTAATTTATTTATTTCAAATATATGTAACCTAATTAATAAAGTTTCATATGTATGTATAAATAACATGTTAGAATTCATTTTATTTTACTACAATTTTAATTTCAATTTTAAAATTATAACTTTAAAATTTTAAAATATTTTCATTGTTAGTTTTAATTTAGACTATATTACTTTATAACAGAAGAATAATTACTCATAGTAAGTAAAAATTTTTTTCATATCAAAGTATATGTAAATTACAATTTTTAAACTTTTAATTTAGATATTATTTAAGTAATATTAATGGCCCAGACTACAAAACTATCTAAGTCATTTCTCAGAATTAGTAAACTTTATGTATTAATTCAAGTTTAAGTATGTATATGAGGTTACATTTTTTTTTTTTTTATATATTATATTTTTATATATTATATATATATATTTATATATTATATATATATATTTTTATATATTATATATATATATTTAATCTTCTTGTCATTGTGCAATGCACAATGAAATTGGACAATAGTCTGCAGGTGCATCAACAGACAAAAAACAAACAAAACATGCACAGCATCAAATAAAGAAAAGGAATACATTTAAAATTCATTTAAAGTTGTCAGTATGCAGTAGCATTAATTTTACATAGGATCCAAGGGTAAAAGCTGTCCCTCAAACATTTTTTCCTAAAATTAATAGAACTAAAATGTTGCTCTAAGGGTAACAGTTCAAACAAGTGATATTCAGGATTCATGTTGTCTTTCATGATGTTTACTGATCTGCTGCAACAATGAGAATTAGAAATATCCTACAAGGAGTGCAACAAGCAGCCAATTATTTTCTGGGCAATATCTATAATCCTTTGGACGGCTCTCTTAGGCAGGGTTTAGAGTTGCTGCTGTGCCTTCTTGACCAATGTGATGGTATTGCTAGTCCAGGAGAGATCCTCTGCAATTCACATGCTGAGAAAATAATTTTAACCACCCTCTCCATACAAACCCCGTCAATGACCCAAAGGCACAGGTGCTCTAAAAGTTCACCACCAGTTCCTTTGTCTTTAAGGTGTTTAAAGCAATTTCCGAGCTCCATACAATCAAGATTTTTTTTTTAGTTTACTCTTGTAGCCCACCATATCACTCACTAAAATGAGTCCAAACACAGTAGTGTCTGCCGCAAACTCAGTGATCATGTTGGTAGGATGGATTTGAATGCAATCACAAGTGTAGGTCATGTACAGAAGGAGCTTAACACACTTTCCTGTGGGGCACCGGTACTGAGCATCAGAGTTGGGGAGAGGTGCAGGCCTATTCTGACAATGTGTGAGAAAGTTGTTAAACCAACACCAGATGGACTGAGATAATCCTAGTTGGGTGAGCTTTGTGATCAGTCTGCTTGGAATGAAGTCAACAAAAAGCATTCTCACATAACAACCCTTTTTCTCTAAGGTGGGTCAATGCAATATGGAAAGCATTGCATTGTAGAAATGAGACATCAAACTGTGTTAATGTCTATACAAAACCTTTTTATATAAAACTCTAAGTTGTATGGAAAAATATCTGAACACAATTTTATCAGTGAATTTGCTAAAAATATAACAAAACCATGTGAAAAATAAATTCTAAATTTTATATATCCTTTTGAGTTAAAGACATAATTTTATTCCCAGTATTGATGTATGACTATACACTTCACACAAGCACTTAGATGAAGAGTTGTATGTGCATGTATGAATATGTGTAAACATCCAATGAAACTAATTTTGAACCAAGTAAATCAAACGTATTTAAAAGAGTCTTCACTAAATTTCTGAGCAGATGTTAAAATAACAGGAGTAGATGATGGTCTGCTAAGGTTTGATATTCTGTTGTCATGATTTGTATCATCAGAGGAATGGCTACAAAAGTAAGGCAAATGTGATGTACAGCAGCTAAAAGCTGGATATGCCTGACGATAGCAACAGTAAGCTACAGACAATCCCAGGAGAGAACCAATAGTCACATCTGAAAAGAAAGAAAGGAACAGAAATTTTAGCACAAATAAGTGCATTTAGGAAAGAAATAATTTTTTTTAAAAATGATTCCTTATTTTGTTATTTTCTTTGAGTTTTTTTCTGTATCAGTTTTCCCTTGAGCCACATAAATAACCTGATCTTAAAAATAATTTGTTGCATATTAAACAGGATATTAAAGCTTCATTTACATGATTAACTTCTGATTTGAATAATTTTGAACTCACCAGGGTTTTGAGAATCCCGTTGATTTCTATTTACAGATTACAACTGAATCTATACTATTTTGACTTTATAGAAAAGGAGTTTTTATTTATAAACAAAAATTAGAATGCATAAGAAGATCATCAGATGATTTTTTTTTTAGTGAGAATAAAAGTATTTCACAAATTGTGAAAACATGACAAGCTAGAAAGACATTAAATCAAGAAATGGATTTAGACCAAAAATAATTGACTTTTTTGCAAAGACAGAAGATAACATGCAAGGGAAATAATCAACTCACCTTGCCAGTGATGATGATAATCACATGTACGTGACAAGGCAACAATCAAAGCCAGAAAAACAGGTACAAAACTGACAAGTAAACGCCAAAGATAACCCCGACCATTTTGATTGAAACAATGGAGTTTCCCAAGCAAGTAGAATGTTGTGTAGCCTAAACCAGAAAAAGCAACTGTAAAAAAAAAAAAAAAAAAAATCAACTTAAAACCACAAAACTATTTTGTCCATATATAAATAACCCTTATTAATTTTAATCTACAATTTATCAATGAAAATTATGTTAAGTTAACCTTTCATTTCCCAAATTAAATACAATGTACTGTGAAAGTAATTATCTCCTATGAATGCCTGGTGGCAAAAAAAATGAATGAAACAGACAAAAAACAAGTTAAGATTTGATTATTTTTTATGTCCTTCTACACGAGAAAAATATTTTTATATTGAAAAATTCAACCCAACAGCAAAAGGCTGAAGCTGTTTTATTATAACTGAAGTCATCAAGTTTTAACTGTTCCTCAAAACCTTTCCTTGTACAATAACAAAAGCAGTAAAATATTTTTTATTTCAAATTCTGATAAGTGAAAAAAAATGTAGTATGTTACATCCTACTCTTACAAGACAATGGTCAAGGTGAGGTGGTTGCAATCATGGCTAGATGGTTTCAAATGTTATAGATATGAATTTTAAGTGGCTACAAATTTCTGTTTTATTCTATTGAAAAATATAAAATTGAATTATAATCCTCATTACTGAATGTGGTCTCACTGATATACAGAGACAATAAAAAAAAAAAAAAAACTCTTTTTCTTTCTTTCCTCTTCTTTCTTTCATTTCCTGTCTGTTCACTCGCCAACACCCATTTGCAAAAAAAAAAAAAAATCTCCTTGCCCATCACTCTTTCCAGCAACTTCCACTCACCCATAATGCATTGGCACTTCCCTCTATAAATGAAATGTTACTACCAATTTTATAGCTGTTCACTTCCGGTGGTGCCCTTGTACCTTACAAGTTGGTACTGCCACAGTTTCTCTGCTACATGTAATTGCAGGTATGCTGATTTCAGATCTACAATTATAGCAGCAACCCATCTTCTGTCTCCACTCTCACATGGTTTCTCCATATACATCAATATCATTACTTCCCATGTGGCATGATACATATGTATTTAACTCCCTTAAGTCTAGTACTAACCTAACATTATGTTTGGTTGGTTGGTTGGTTAACTGCCATTAGTGGCAATATTCCACTTTGGACTTTCTCCTTCCAAGATACCAGGATGCCTTCTTCAACCCATCTATCCACCTTCTTTTCAAACTCCAATCTCTTTTCTTCTTGCATGGAATTATCATATAAGATCACCCTGTTCTTTAATATGGATGGTCCGTTTGTCCAGTAGCATTCAACGGTTCACTTTTCATCATCAAATTCAGCACAAAAATCCTTATCCTGAACTTTTAGCCTAGTCTGTCCACCACCTTGCAGTTACAGAGTTACTGCACTTAGCATCTTACCAAATTTACTGGAGGTCGAGCATTCAAATCTTTCTAGAGCCTCCAGTTTACCAAATTTAACCTGGTTTCGATTAATGGTGACTCCCTCCAGTTTATTAAGTGTGTCCATACTGATGACAGCATCAATGCCATTGAAAATGTGCTCCAAAAGAAGCACCCTTATCTTGAACTGCACCTCTTCTACTAATAATGTCACAGTGCTAGAGCCCTTGCATGCAACCTCTCTCCCATCGACTGCTTTTATAAGAGATCCTCCACCAACCACTACTCACCAACCAGGAAGTCACCAGGATCGTAGTGCATCCAGTATCCTCTAGTGCTCTTGCTTTCCTTCCCTCTACTACAACTGTTACAATTGGTAAGGTTTGGTGTTGCGCTGATGTTGATCCATCAGTGTAGCTACTGGCACAATAACTCCCCCTTGCCTGTTTCCCTGGGGACAAAATCTGACGATGTGTCCCTTCTCTCCACATTCATAGCACATCACAGCAGGCTTTGGTCATTCCTTACAATATTTTAGCATATGCAGTCCACGAAACTTCCTTGTCTGTTCTGTTCCTGGTTCTTTAGCAGTCAGGCTTTGTGCCACAGCTACTATCCCAAGGGATTCTCCTGCTCTATTCATAGTGGTAGTTATCAGCTTGTTCATCTCTTTAGTTTCTAACTGGGGCAGCTGCTGAAGTGCAATTGATATTTGATCTGGGAATCTGTGAACCATCCTCTCTGCACTCCTTCCACGAATCCTGCCTATCACCTTATATTGTTAGCAGAAACATCAATGGATTCGCCAGTCCCCTTGGATTTTATCAATTTTCAATATGCTACGAAGGGTCCATCCGTAAAGGCCTTGAGTAGCATTGACTCAATCATCTCTGCATCTGTCATATCAATCTCATTCATCTCCATATAGAGAGCCAATGCATACCCCTCAAGGTACAGTGGGATCAGACTTGCCAGATCAGTGATATGTTACAACCTAGCAACCAACTTCACTTTTGTGAGCCATGCCACTGTATCTCCCTGTCCATCAAAAGGTCCGATCATGTCACTGGCCACACACATTCTCCCTCTCTCTCCTTCCATAGTGAAATGCTGTAATAGCTTATGGTCCCGCTAATATACAAAGACAATAAAAAAAAACTTTTTTTCTTTCTTTCCTCTTCCTTTCCTGTCCATTTGCTCACCAACACCCGTTTGCAAAAAAAAAAAAAAAAAAAAAAAGCCCCTTGCCCATCATTCTTTCTAGTTTTATACAACCACCACTCCTCCATAATGCATTGGCACTTCCCTATATAAGTGTTACTTCCACTTTTCTAGATTTCCACTTCTGGTGCTGGTAAGTTTTCACTTCTTTTCTCTCATCTTTTTACCACACTGAATTTAGTAATTCAAAAATTAATGAGAAATTCTGGCTTTTTGAAAACTATTGCTCAGCCTAAAAGGTTTAAGTGAAATATCATTCTTCATGACTTGACAAAAATCATCACTTTTTGCTGCAACCTTTTTCATAGTCATCTTCAGGTAATGTGTTGCATGTTTTAGATGACCAGAATCAAAATTAAGAATTTCTTATGGATTCAAATCATTGTAGAATATTGTAGAAAGAGGAACAAGGTAAGACATATTTATCATGGTCAGCATATTTATGTCATAAATTATCAGCAAATGACAAATAGAAAGTGTGAATATTCCAACTAGAATAAGGTATTAAATAAAATAAGCTATTATGTATTATAAAAAATTCAAATTGTAGTGTACTATTATATCATGTATCTTTTTTCATACTAACACACTAACAACGGGAACTATGTAATTTTTTACTAACACTAATAAAAGGTAGGTGAATCCACTGCCATATTGTACCCAGCTTTTAGTTGAATAATGCTTGGATTGCAGCCCATTCAACTAAAAGAAAAAGAGAAAATACATCAATGTAGAAACCTACAGGTTTAGGCATCAACCATAGTCTATCAACAGCTGCTGGAAATTATCAACAACGGTGTACCAATCTGCAGTTTTTGAATATGTAGAAAGATGTACTGATATTGATTCTGCCATCCAAAAACTAGACTATTTATTAAAGTACCTAATGAAGTCATTGTGAGATGCCTACAAGAAGGCAAGAGAATCATTGGACAAGTTTTTCAAAGTGTTAGAGAAGTCAAAGAGAAATTCCAACTTCTGAGATCATAGCGCTGAGGAGTGTAGCAATGAAGCAATGCAAGATGTATTTTTTACTGGCATAGCTTCTCATGTGATTTGACAGTATCTCCTAGAAAAAATTAACCTGGATCTGCAAACAGCTTATAGTCAGACACTCTACCGTATTAGACTTTGATTCAACACAATGATTTCTATGCTACTCCAGACACTCAAATGGCTGCAATAGTGAATCCAGAACATTTGCAGTTTTGTAAATCAGCTGTGGCAGCAGCCTATCAAACAAGGCATAAATGCTACTTCTGTGGCTTTCCTTACCATTCCCAGGATAGCTGTCCTGTATGTGAGACTACTTGCAACAAGTGTTCCAAGAAGGGACATTATGACTGTGCATGTGCAAATGAAAGCCCCAATCAAGTTCAATAACCACAGTGGCTCTCACATCCTATCAACTCTGACTAATGTACCATGGGGACTCTTACCAACTGCAACTCACGTGATTGTGAATGGAGGAAATTTAATACCCTACTTCTTGGTACATGTAGCACAGACAGTTCTATCAACAAAAGAATTGTGCAGAACTTAAGGCTAAAGATTCACTCATTTAAGAAAGTTACTATGGCCGAGTGAACTCTGAATACCAATTGCAAAGACTATGTGGTAGGGAATCCTTGATCTTAATAATCAGACATATGATATCACACATCTTGCTGTTTTGTGAGTGCTATGTTCAGATATAATACTTGGCCAGGATTTCCTGTACCAACATCAAAGAGCAATATTCAAATATAACGGACCTTGTCATAATTAATCGTGGATGGTGGTTGTCAATACTGCACATTAACCCAGGCGGAACTAGAAAAGCCATCCTTTTTTCCAAATTTATTACTGAGCTGTAAACCAATTGATGTAAAGTTAATAAATTTTGGCAGAGATGACCAGGCTTTCACCACAAAGGAAATTGTTTAGTTACTATTTGAAGGCATAATTGAAGAAAGTATATCACCTAGGCAAGTTCAGGTAGTGGTCCCTAGTCACCGACATAAGAAATAAATATGCATCAATTATTCACAGACAATTAATCAATATACAGAACTTAACATTTACCCTATGCCAAAAATAGATGAGATGATAAACAGCCTTGCTAAGTATGCTATCTTTTCCACATTCGACCTCAAAAGCGCTTACCACATGTGCCACTGAAAGTGTTGGATAGAAAGTACACCACTTTTGAAGCAAATGAATGTTTAGTTCAACACTGTAAGATTCCATTTGGAATAACTAACAGGGCAGCTATCTTTCAGAAGGCTATGTATAGAATGGCAACAGAAAAAAATCTGTACAGTGCTTTTCCATATACCAACAATATAACTACTGTAGGACAGACACAGGAAAAATATTATGAAAATGTGAAGATTTCAGAAGAAATTTACAATGAACAAGTTGAATACTGTGGCATCAGTATGCGCTATCATTGTGTCAGGCTACTGTATTGGGAACAGTGATCAAACCTAATACTGAATGACTGTCCCTTGAGAGAACTTTCTTCATCTGAAAGTTCTTAAAAAAGCATTTAGCATGTTTTCTTACTACACCAAGTAGACCAACCATCAACAGAAATGAAGAAATTACTCAGCAGACTTCAACCAGCTAAAGAAAGATTTAGAAAAACTATGCTCCACTTGAAGGATGACATTTTACCCTTTGAGTTAGAATGCAATGATGTGGTTATTTCAGCTATCATAAACCAAGAATGATGTGCATTAGCATTTATGTCAAGGACGTTAAAAGGCAGTGAATTAAAATACTATTTATAGAGAAAGAGACAGTAGCTATTATTAAAGCAGTGTGTAAATGGAGCCATTGTTTGATTACAGACCAATGGCCTTTATATTTGATAGTAAAAGATGTATAAAAATTAAAAATGTGAAAATTCAGAAATGGAGAATGGCACTTGCAGCATTTAACTATACAATTATATGCTCTGGTCTGGTAAGGAAAATGTAGTTCCTAATATATTTACTTGTTCAACAGTTACTAACTTAACACTAGCAGATATTCACAACAAACTTTGACACCCTGGAATAACTGCTACATTATAACAGATCAAAAAAATCTCCCCTTTTCTATGGAAGATGTAAAGAAGACATGTATGTCTTGCTGAAATTAAACCTCGCTTTTATAGTCCATCAGAAAAAACCGTCGTCAAAGCAACAAAACCTATGGAGCAGTTTAGTATTGATTTCAAGAGACTTTTACCTTCTATCACATGTAATATATACTTATGATAATGGATGAATACTCACATTTTCCTGTTTGCCTTTCAGTGTCCTAACAGGCACACAACAACAGTGATAAGATGCCTAGAGTTATTTTTTAGCCTAGGCAAAATACTGAGTTACATACATTCTGCCCAAGGCAAGACTTTCAATATCTAAAGAATTGAAAGATTATCTTTCCCAGAAAGGGATTGCCACTAGTAACACCATACTGTACCACCCAACAGGCAATACACAGATAGAAAGGTTTAATGACACCATATGGAAAGCAATTCTTTTGGCTCTTAGGTCATGTAACCTGCCTGAAAAGCATTGGGAACTTGTACTTTCTGCGGTGTTACACTACCGAGATTGTTGCTATGTAAAGCAATAAATGCTACAACCCAGAAATGTTTTTTTGGCATTCCAGCAATGTTTATATCATGGAAACTCATTACTCTCTTGGCTATTGACACCTAAACCCATATTACCAAGATGGTAAAAAATAGCAAAAACAATCTATTCGTGGATTAAGTCAAATCCCTTTATAGAAACCCAACATATCCTAACATTAGATATCCAGATGGATGAGTCGTTGCCAGTTTGAAATAGCAACTTGGGACCCTGTCCCAAAGTCCAAACAACCCCATCATCCCCTACTATAAAACAAGATCTGGTAATACCTGCAACAGAAGACAATGCCATATCCAAAAATGAGCTAAGGAGATCCAATCAAGTATCAAAACATCCTAATTGATATGGCTATAGCTTTTAAAGTTGATGTCATATTTTTCTAGGAGTGAAGAATGTTCTATTATATCATACTAACACACTAACAATCGGAGCCACATGATTTGTATACCAACACTAATAATTCACATTGTAGCCAGCTTTTAGTTGAATAAATCTTGGATTGCTGCCCCAAGTCACTTTGATATTTGTTTAATTGTAAAATCACAAAGTGATTTCTATATGTACTGCAATGAATCTTATAAAATCTATTTGACACAAGCAAAAACTAAAATAGCCTATTATAGTAATGTAATTCACTTGCTTAAAAAAAATCAAAAACACAAAAAAACCAAAACACTCTAAAATATTACAAAACAATTACAAAAAGGAATTTTTAAAACAATGGGCTGGAGGTTTTCTTCTCTTCTTGAAGGTTTGTACTTACTTGTAGAATGTCCACTTGGAAAACTCTTACGACCTTCTATGATTTTCTCACGATGTCCAGTACATTCCATGTTCTCAACATAAACCCCATTAGGAAAACATCGCCAAAAGAAATCAGGACGAGGTCTGCAATAAATTACCAAACAAATTGAGGAATTTAAAAAGAAAATCACAGTTAACATTTTATATTTGCAGAAATCAGTAGTGTAGCTAGGGTGTGGCAGCAGGAGTGGTCCGCCCCAGGCAGCACATTTGGTCCAAAGCGAGTTTTCAGAAAAGAAAAAAACAAAAGCAATATTTGAACATTTTTAAAGGGCTTGATGTAGAGTTAGATTAAGTGAATTTAGTGAATCCACAGTTTTTTCAGTGAGAAGTCCAGACTTTGGTATCACTTCTTTGATTTTTCATGTCTGTAAACTGTTAGTGAAAAAAAATTAAATAAGTGAACCAATTGTTTTTTTTTTTATCTTATCATAGGCCTAGCTTTAATACAGATATAAAATCACTACTTTTCATAAATTATAAAATAGATAAATAAATTGAAATAATTCCAATGCTTGAAGGATATCACATGCATTCCAATTTTTTCCAGAAATATTGAATAAAAATTTAAAAGAAAATTGAAAATTAATATATTTTTTAAGTGCAGAAACTTTATTTAAAATCCAAGAATGGGCATTTTTTTTCAATTTTTCAATTTACAAGTTTTCATGGTAGTAAAACAATGCAATGTTTTATTTTTTTGTTTAGATAGTTGAAGCAAAATAGACTAAGAGTTAAAAGTAAGATAACATTTATTTCAGTTTTTAAAAGTGAAGTTAATTTTATCAGACTTTTAATTCTTAGCCTAATACTTTGCTAATAATAACTTCAACTACATAAAGCAAAATAATTTAAAAAGATATTTCATTTTTTTACATTGTTAAAAGAAAAACGAATTTGATTTATGACTCCTCACTTGTTAAATTATGAATTAAAAGTACATGTTTTTTGCTTTTCTTTTTAAATAAAACAGAGGGTATATAATTAAAAACAAGTTATCTTTCTTTTAATATCGTAAAAAGATTTTAAAGCTTTTCTGATTTAGAATAAAAGAAGTAACGTCTTTGTTTTTTTACATATCCTCAGTTTTATTTTTTAAAAATAAATAAATAAATACAATTGTACTTCTATTTCATAATTTATCAGTGAGGAGTTATAAATACCATGTTAGCAGAAATATGGAAGAAAACCTGGCATCATATGAACATTAGTTTCTGAGAAATAGATAAAAATATTAAAAATTGATGGGTGTACAAATAATTTTATTATCGATTATATTATATATAGACTTTAAGGAGTTAATGTGCATTGCAATATTGTATTCCTTCTGGGGCAGGGTGAAAAACTTGAGGGCCGCCCTGGGCAGCAAAAACACTAGCTACGTCACTGGCAGAAATGTAAATATAGTGTGATACAGGTTGAGGAAATCTTCAGAAGAAATAAGACCGATTCAGGCTGATTTTCTATGACCAGTGTTCTATCAGCATCATTTGATAGATTTCCATATTAATATCCAGATTTTTCCACTCTCAAAGATTTGGCATGTATGAAGTGAAAAATGCCTATGAAAAAAAAAAGGTTATCAACTTACCTGCCAACAATAACTTTGATGATATTAGTCAAACTTGCACTGAGAAAGACTGACAATGTGAGACCTGTGAAACAAGATTATAAAGAATGAAATATTAAATTCAGATAATCACATAAATCTTTGTATCTTCAGAATGCATAAATGCAATTTATCATAGGTTACATTTTTATAAGTAATATATATGCACTACAATGTGTACACAAGTAGCACCTTCCCCTGCTGATAGATAAAACCAACATAACTTATTTTAGCCATCACAATGATAACTCCCTAATTTAAAATACACTATAATGGATTTAGAAAAGAATATCGCAATGAAAAGAAAAAAAATACAATATTCCTGGTCTGATTTTGGAGCTATAAGTAAGTAAATTAAAAAAAAGAATGAGCAAGTTTGGCATCCAAAATATTAGTGACTAAAAACCTTACCTCAGAGATGACATCAATTGATAAACTTTTTACAGTTTGTCTTTGCTTATTCTCAAGGTGATTTTAAATTAAAAACTTTGTGAAGAGTCCTAATCTTGAAGATTTTGTTTTCTCTGACACTAAACAATGACTCATTAAAATACCTGCTTGAGTACTTGAGCAAATAGAAAAAAAAGTATGATTCTATCTGGAAAACTGCTTTAAGAAGATTATTCTGATATTTGTAAGAAACAGATGGTTAAATATTTTCTTTCTTAATAGATAGATATTTATCAGACACATGTGATAATTATCAACAATAAGAAATGATAAATAGTGTGAAAAATTTTGAGATTAATCAGTCATTATTCCTTGAATTGTTTGCCTTAATATTTGTATTTCTTGTTATTATCACAAGATTTTGACAAATGACACACTTCAGCCTTCCTTAGAAGTTTGTTTTCCATTTTATCTATTTACTGAATGTAGGTAGAAATTCACAAATCTGAGAATCAAATTTTTCTGATGATAATGATTTTTTTTATTCAGACTGAAAAAATAGTGACTACATACACTGCTAAACTGATAACTACGCAAATTTTAATTTAGTAACTGTCATTTCTGCACTTGGATATGGAAGCTCTTAACAGTCATTATTCAATTCTTTATTTTCTTGACAAATAGAAGATACTAAATATTATTGTGTCTTCTTTTAAGGTAATAATTAGAAACCTACCAAGCAGAGCTTGGAGAACATCCATTTTGTTGCGGCTATAAACATAAGCAATTAGTATTCCTGATAGTGGGACAACGACCACGATCACCTGAAAAAGAAATTATACTCAAAGTTAGCATTGAATAATATAACATAAGAAAGAGACAAAGAAACAAGTGTTTTGCTTTCCATGATTAAAAGGTAAATTTAATTGCAATGAAAATGAGAAAACTTTATCAAAAACTGTTTTGCTGATTAGTGAAATCAGTTGTAAAGAACTGCTAAAATATGGGAAAACATGTAACTGTATTAATCAATAAGAAATATTTACTCAAGGCAGAATATACTAATGAAATATATATATATATATATATATATATATATATACATATAGTGGTTCACAGAGCACAAAGATATTACATTCTGATTCTAAGCGGAAGTGTTGATTCATACATGAATAAATTTGCTAGGTAATCTTTTGTGTGTATAAAGCAACTTGTATGCAAATTATCTTTTATTTTACTAAGTTTTCATTAAAACTATTTATCTTTTCAGTCTATAGTCTCTTTTTTTAACATCCATTGACTTTCAGAATGTTTTACTGGATGTAGTTGGAAGCTTTTAAAATGAGACAGTTGCACTGTCCTAACATCCTAACAGAGGTTGATTAATAATCAACGCATGTGATAAACATGATTCCATGATTATTCAAGTATGACTTAAGACTCTAATTGTGATGTATTTCTCCTTGGTGCCTTTTGTGAATTATGATATTTATTATAATGTTTGATTTATATTTATGTATTTATATATTTAGGAAAACCCTAATTATTTTGGACAGACTTATTAGGCCAGAGGTGGTAGTGGTTCACCCCTGGTTGGTTATAAAAGATTGGGACTTGGACTAATCAAGAGTCTGAGCAAATAGTCACTACAGATGGTTGTGTTGCTCTAGTGAAAGCAAGCTGACAACTACTTATCATGCTTCAGAAACCAAAATACACAAAAGTGGCAATGAGGATAGTAGATTAATGTGGAAAAGTGGCATACATATTTTTTTCTTATAGTCGTAAAAGGCAGCAAATTCAAATGAATAATTTGAGGACTAAAAGTGTTATGAAGTCTGCTGATAATACAGCATTGTTTGGAATTAAAGGAGTGGTCAAGTGAAGAAGAAGAAGAGTGGAAGAACTATGTAGAAATATTAAATTTTTACTTCACTGCTAATGAGGATAAGAAACGAGCCATTTCATTGTTGGTGGTTAGTGCTAAAAATTACAGTTTTTTAAGAGGTCTTGCTAATAACAGAACAAATGAACAATCCTATAAAAATTTATATCAGTTAATGAAAAGACATATTCACCCTGTTCTCAATGAAATATATAAGCACTTTCTCTTTTATTCAAGGGAGAAAAGTGACAGTGAAACCATCAGCCATTATGTTGCTACACTTAGGAAATTGTAAGAAAAGTGTAATTTTGGGGACAAAATTAATGAACACCTAAGAGATAGAGTGATAGTTGGAGTAAGGGATGAAAAAATTCAACAATGTCTACTCAGTGAAAGAGTATTAACATTAAAGAAAGCTCTAGAAATAGCAGTGGCTATTGAATCTGCTATGAAATTCTCCAAGGAAATTCAAAGTGCACAAAGGGGTGAGGGAGCATGCACATGAATCTCCAACTTCACTACATAGTTTACCCAGAAAATGAATGTTACTGTTGTGGAAATACTAACCATCTTGCAAACAAATGTCCTTTCAAGGAGAAAAACTGTTTTAAATGTGGAGAGGCAGAACATACTCAGTAGAAGTGAAGGCAGGATGGTAATAAGCAAATTTGGGGAAAAATAAAAAAGGAAAAAAGAACAGCAGTGAAAAACATGGATGAGAAGTTGGAAAACTGTTGCGATGGAATAGAAATGTTGGGCCTAAATACCATCATAATGTCACATTCACCACTGCTGCAGAAATGCTGTTAAAAAAGGAGGAGGGTGATAATTAAGGTGGACACTGGGGCCTTGTGTTCAGTAATGAATTTTAAGAAGTTTCAGGAATTGGGGACTTTAGAAGATTTAAAGGAGAACTCCTTAAAGTTAAGGACCTGTACTGGAGAGGTGGTAAAACTATATTGTGTAACAGAGGTTGATGTGAAGTACAAAGGGACAGAGAGTCAGTTGCCATTATTTGAAATTGAAGGAGTTGTTGGGTGAGTTTGAGCCTCTATTTAACGTGGAGTTGGGTTGTTTGAAGGATTTCAAGGTAAAATTACCGGTGGACAGAACAACAGCTCTTCAATTTTGTAAAGATCATCCAGTACCTTATGCACTGAAGGAAAGAATAGAAAAGGAACTGGAACAACTAGAAAGCCAGGGTATACTTAAGAAATTCAAGTATTCACATTGGGAAGCACCTATATAATACCAGTACCAAAAGTAGAGTTATTCGGGGTTGTGGAGACTACAAGCTGACCATAAATATGGCTGCTCCTTGTGACACCTATCCAATACCAAGGACTGAAGATTTATTTTGCTACATTGAAGGGTGGTGAGAAGTTTAGAAAACTTGATTTGAGTCATGTTTATCAGCAGCTGGAATTGGATGAGAAAACATGATAGTTGCCCTAAATTATTACAACAGTCACTTGCCCAAATTATCTACCATACTGGAGCCCCTTCATCAATTGGGGAGCTAATCAGAAGAGGGCTTTTGAAAAAACAAAGAAAATGTTGCATTCAGTGCCTCTCCTGACGTATTTTGACCCTGCAAACCCCATTCTGGTGCATTTGGATGCTATCATCTATGGAGTAGGGGAGGTAATAGCACATAGGATGAAAAATGGAATAGAGAAGCCTGTGTGCTGCATATCTCAGACCCTGTCTGCCTCCAAAGGAACTATGCATACATAGATAAAGAAGGCTTGGCCCTGGTGTTTGCAGTTAAAAGACTCCATTAGTATTTGTAAGCGAATTTCTTCTTTGTATACACAGATCACAAGCCACTGCTGGGACTGTTTGCTGAGAACAAACCAATTCCTCATCTTGTTGCTTCTAGAGTACAACATTGGGCACTATTCTTAGTGGCTTATAACTACAGGTTGGAGTAATGAGCTGGTGAGTTCAACAATAATGCTGACTGTCTCAGTTGTCTTCCAGTAGTGTCCCAAGAAGAGGATCATTCCATCATCATGAACAGAATGAACATAATGGATTTGGTTGATTCTCCAGTAACAGTGGCTGAAGTTCAAGCAGAGACTAGAAAGGAGCTGATTCTGTGCAGGTACATGAAGCAATATTGAATGGCTGAAGGAACATTGCATTGCAAATGGAGACCTTACTTCATTAGGCAAGAGGAGTTGAGTTGTGAAGATGGTACAATACTGTCGGAGAGTCAAGTTGTCATTCCTGCCAGGTTCATTGATAAAGGTATTGCAGGAACTCCATCAGACCCACATTGGAGTTGTGTGCATGAAAGCTCTTGCACAAAGTGTGGTGGCCAAACTTGGACACAGACATTGAGAGGAACTGCAAGACTTGTGGGACATGCTTATTAGATCAAAGCAAACCAAACCAAGCACCCATTCATTGCTGAGAATATCCAAGTTAACCCTGGGAAATGATTCATGTGGATTTTGCTGGCCCCATTTATGGGATGCATATTTATGGTTGTAGTGGATGCTTATTTAAAATGGATGGAGATATGCATAATGAATACATATACTGCCCAAGTCACAATAGAGAAGCTGAGAGAGGTATTCACCACAAATGGCCTGCTGGTATTGTTAGTGAATGATAATGGCCCGTGTTTTACCAGTGATGAATTCAAGCAGTTCCTGAAATCAAATGGTATCCAGTAAATGTTCACTGCTCCTTATCTATCTCCCTCCAATCATCAGGCTGAATGTTCAGTGCGCACATTTAAAGAGGCACTGAAAAAGTTAAGAATGGAAGAGGAAGCAACCCTCAAAACCCAAGTACACAGTTTCTTATTCTCTTTTAGAACCACTCCTCATACAGCAACAGGAGTTTCTCCTGCCGAGTTGATGCTTAAATGTCAGTTACAAACTGCTTTCCATTTACTGAAGCCCAATACATATCACCAAGTTCAGGTTTATCAGGCCAATATGGAACAGGGAACAAAAAGTGATGAGTCTCATGCAACAATTCAAGGTGGATGATTGTGCAGAATTTCAGAGCTGGTGAACAGTGGATGGAGAGCATAATTATCAGACAACTGGGGTCTGTAAATTATGAAGTGGGAGTGGGTGGAGGCTTGATGAGGCAACATATCGATCAACTAGTGATACTGCCCCCCTAGGTCACAGTGTTAGTCATGCCCAATGTGCTAGTTGTAAAGGTACCTGAATTTCCTGAAGTTCCAGAAACCCTTGAAGCATTTGGAGTATCAGCTGATCCTCCAACAAATGATGCAATGATTTCTGAAATGCCAAATTTGGAAATCACCATCCAGGTTTGGGGACTGGGTAGCAAAGTAAAGTTTGGAGGTGTTGTGTAGGAAAAAAACCAATTGTTTATTAAGTCAGGGTGGTGGTGGTCTATCCCTGGTCGGTTATAAAAGATTGGCACTTCGATTAATCAGTAGTCCTAGCAAGTAGTCACTACAGATGACCATGTTGCTCTAATGGAAGCATGCTGACAACTATTTATGCTGCAGAAACTCAAATAAACAAAAGTGCCAAAAAGTTGGTTTTAAACTCAGATAAAAAGGCAGGGCTTTAAATGCAGAAAGATTGTCCTCATTCACCAACTTTATGTCAAACTGAGCTAATCAAATATTAACATATACTGCCATATGATAATTACAAATTAGAGTCACTTATTACTGATATGATAATTATTCTGTGCTTTTAGTTGTCCAAGCACTCTATTTACATTATCCATGTAAAGATCATTGAATGAAATGTCAAAGAGTATTGAGTGCAACTATATTAACAGCAAATGTTTATTTCAATGACTTTTGTATTTAAATCAAATTTAAATTAACACAATGAAATTAATATGGTACTATCCCACTGCTTTTTAAACTAGTGAGATTAAGTATTGTCACAAAACAGTATCTTTCTTATTATTATTTCAACCCTGTTTCAGTATAACATTAAGGGATTTTTTAATAGCAAACATATAGTATACAACTAGAACTACAATTAATAGCTGCCTCCACCTTTGTCACCCTTGTAGAAATTTATTGAGTCTTCTATACACACAAAATTTTGCTTACATTTCTCGCTAATGAATATCTGAATTTTGTAAAGAAATTACTTAGTGTAGTTTTGCTATTGAAAACTGATATTATTGTTTATTCTTTCAGATTCTTTGTCAAGTGTAGTAGTGGTTGGTTAGTGTTATCACTAATTGGAACATGTGTATGAGTAGACATTATCTATAGGTTCCCTACGTAAGGTAGTGATACTAGTACTTGGACTGTAAAATCAATACTGACCGCATACAACTGCAATCCCTAGTTGGAATATCATAACAATATGGCATTACCAATAGGTCATTGTTGAATGTAGAAAACACAGACTTTGTTGAAACTTGGATATGGTGCTTCACACTCCTTGCTAGAACAAGGAAACTACGAAACAACAAAATAAATGGAGGCGAAAATGAAGTCACAGATTTGTTTCTGGCAACAACCAGTTGTGAAGCTGTTAGCAAGATTTTGTTGATGATTTATCCAGCAGATGTGGAAGAACTGGCATTTAACCAAATCAAAGAGATTATTCTAAGGAATATTTGATCAAGGAAAAGGTTGGTCATTGCCAAATGAAACAAGCTCTTGTCATTAAAATAAGAATGCGAAGAACCCATTATGAAATTTCTGTACTAGCTAATGAGATGCAAGCATATATTGAGAATTTAAATGTTTAGGACAAGAAGAAATATCTATTGAAGAGGTACTGATTCAACTAAGACTGATAGAAGGTATGTGGAATACTTTGCATAGATTTAAAATGTTAGAATGGTTACAATTAAACCAAATGTCATTAGAGGCATGTATCGAATCTATACAACAGGAAATGTATGATTTAAAAAAGAAAAATATAAACTGTTGGAAAAAATTGAAGACATTTTAAAAAGTGAAACTGATGTTTTCTCAATACAAAAGAATAAGAAAGAAAATATCTTAATAGAAATTAAATGGAATGAGGTAAATTTAAAAATGCAAATTGATGCCAGCAACAATGTAACATTAATTCTGAAGAACTCTTGGGAACAAATGGGTAAACCAAAACTATATAAAAGTCATTTAAAATTAAGACAGTTTGATGAGTCATGCATAATGACAGACTACTTTGAAGGAACATTTGAAAATTAACCCCAGGATTGAAATTGTTACTATTGTAGTTGTGAATTGTAATAAAAATCATAGGTTAATAGCACATCTACTTCATGATATGAATTCATATAATCTTGAAAAAGAAATGTTAAAAGATTATAAAGCAAATATTAAATTGAAAAGAAATTGTAACTCTTATATTTTGATTCTCACAGACTTCCAATTAATTTATTACTTAGATAGAGTTGTATGCTTTATGGTGGTGAAAACAGCAAGTGTCATCTTTCAAAAAGCAATAGAAAATGTTCTAAGAGGGGACATAAAAAACATGATGATATATCAAGATGATATATGTTTGGGTACAACCAAAGAAGAAGAGTTAAAACAAAAAGCCAACCAGGTATTAAACAGATTAAATACATCTGGAATGACTTTTGATGAAAATAAATGTGCATTTGTGAAAAAATATGTCTTGGGTACCAAATTTCATAAGACAGAATTTTGCTAGACCAAAGTTTGACACAGAAATATTAGAGATATCTCCTATCAATAAAAAAGAATTAGAATCCTTTTGAAATTTAATAAATTTTTATAGTAAATACTCAAATATAATATTCAGAATTGATTGAAGTGTTTGCCAAGTTGCTTAAAAAGAACAATGAATTTAAGTGAACTAATATACAACAAACAGCATTTGATAATTTTAAAAATGCTCTTGCCCCATTATAAAGATTTTTGTGCCTCAATAGGAAGATGTATTAACAAAAGATGCCAATAAAAATTCCATATTGGATCTTAGCACAGGAAGGATACCCAGTTATGTATCTTTCTAGAGCATTAACGTCAACCGAATCTAATTACTCAAGTATAGAAAAAGAGGCTCTAATTATAGTTTGGAGCACTAGTAGAGCTCTTCAATTTTTATTGGGTAGAAAATTCTTGTTGATATCTGACCATAACCCCCTAGAATTCATTTTTAACCTGAAGAAAGAATTACAAAAAAGTTACATCTTCCAGAATATTAAAATCAGCCATAAGCTAATGGCTTTTGAATTTGATATCAAATATGTAAATGGAAATGCTATTCCCCAAGTAGATGCATTATCCAGATTACATTTTAAAAGAGCAACAAAAGACAGCATATTAGAAAAGATGGAAGATGAATTTTTGCACTGGGTAGAAACTGACATTCTACTGATAAATCAATTTGCCTCAGAAACATTACAGGATCCAATATTAAGTAAAATTGTATGTAGAATATAAACTAATAAATGGAATAATTGTTCAAAATCTGAAAGGCCATACAAAGAAAATTAGTCATAAGTTAACTGTAGAAAATGATGTATGTAATGGAGATTTAATAGTACCAGCTGAAAAATCTAGAAAATATGTAATAAAAAGTATGCATGATGATGTGCAATGTAAAATTACAGCTACATGGAAGCATTTGGAAGTAGAAGCATGGTAGCCTGAATAGGCATGCAATGTTGAAAATCAGGTACACAAATGTCTAAAATGTGCTGATGTAAAAGAACTTCTCCTCAACAAGATGAAATTGATAGTTTTTACCAAGACTTTTACTTAGTAACAGAACTATACCACATGTTGACAGATTAGAAAGTCTGCCTACATTAATGGGAAGACAGATAAGAGCCCCATTAACCGTGTCATACTCCATTAATGAAAAAATTTGGCACAAGAAAAATAGAGAATCTGTACCCAAAAGGGCAAATTTTATACTCCAAAAGGAACACACTACAGTACAGCATTAATGTTTAAAAAGAGCAATAATGTTCTTGCCCATGTGATCAAATAAGATCCAAACAAGAATACAAAGGTGAAATGGAAATTGAGATAGGAAGTCAGTCCAGCTCAGACTCTATAAATAAACAGGAAATGAATGATGAGGAGTGACCTAGGCAATTTGGACGATTCATGCATTGATTGTGAACAAGACTTCTCCAACAAACAAAACAGATCTAGATCTCCCATAGAGAAAGATACACACAGATCTCTAGAGAGGGGGAGAGAAGGAAGTCAAAATGAAAATACAAATGGACAAAGAAGCCTGAGATCAACAAAGGGCATAAATCCTATTCAATGTAGTAGTGATTGATTAGTGCTACCACTAATTAGTATATGTGTATAAGTAGACATTATGTATAGGTTCGCTATGTATGATAGTGGCAATAGTACTTGGACTTTAGAATCAATATTGACTGCATACAACTGCAATCCCTACTAGAAATATCATAACATCAAGCAAATGGTTACAATTATACTGCTGCCACTATGGTGTCAGTAATAGTAACAGATAGGTTTTTACAGGATAGTGCTGCTAGCTCTATGCCCAAGTTGTTGCTTTCTGGATTGGATGTCTGTAGCGGTGACTTATCTCGAATGAAGTTTCCACTGTTTGTAGGAGGAGGATGGAGTCATACTTTTTTTTCTCAAAAACATTGAATCTCAGAATTTAATTTGCAATGCATTTACCATTAGGCTACTGGCTACTTTTTTTTATACCAAGTAGAAATTCTTTGAATCAATTCATCAACTCTACTTATGTCCTAACATATCACTTAAAAATAATCTTAGATCCAATAAGTAAATCTGAAACACCAAGAATCAAATGTAAAATGTTTACCATTTATTATAGTTATTATTCATTCATTCATTAAATATTAACTGGTGGCTTACACCAGAGATGACAGCAAGTCTTTTCAATACTCCACTGCTCTTCTTAGTATTCTAGGTGTTTTCATTAATATTAACTCCTCCATTAACTTTTCCATTCAAGTCAGATAGGATGGAAAATTATCATAATACTAAACAGCATTTTCGGAACCTGGAAATAGTTCTCATATCAGAAGCTACAAGTTCTTCCTAGCATATTCCCATTATGCACAGATTTTAACCCAAGGAAATTCTTACCTATGTAGAGCTTGTCTCCCAGCTTTTTGTTTTAATCTTAAAATCAAGTCATATGCAAGTCTGAAAAGTAATTTAATAAATTTGTTGGAATTAGAGAAAGATACTCACCCATAATACGTGAATAGGAACATAACTTGGTGTTTCAGGATTTTTGTATAACCATAATTCCTCCTTTTCTATGTGCCTTACAAATGGTTCTAAATGTTCTGTATAACTAAAAGAAAAAATAAGAAAGTCATCATAAAAAGAGGTTTCATAAAAAAAGATTCAAAAATCAAAATGAACATAACCATGTATTTTAATTTTACCATAACTCTATATTTTTCATCTTAATTAACCTGTTCACTGCCAACTATATTTAATATTATAATTTGTCAGGTAGAAAGCCTTCTTTGCATCCTTAAAATAAATTTATTTTAATAAATTAATGTTTACAATATATATATATATATATATATATATATATATATATACACATAAGGTCCAAAGTTGTGTAAACATTGACAAGTTATCATCAACAAAGTAAATATGTAAATTTCCTGTATTTGCTAATTTCTTTTATTTGATCCTGATTGATATCTTGCAAAAAAGACAATTAAATATCTACTCTGATTCTAAATACATGACCAACTAAGATGGCTTATCTATAGCAGGAAGCAACAGATAAAATCCAAAGATATGTAAGTAATTGAAGAAATTCATATTTTTTAATCCAAACACACAAAGTTGAAAAGAATTTTTCAAAACAATATTCAAAATCTTTCATCAAAGTTTTTAAGAGGATGTGTGAGGCTATATGAAAACTGACTTAATTTAAACTTCATAAATAAAAACCATTATTGATTATAAAGTCTGACAGTTTGATCCAGACTTTATAATCAATAATGGTTTTTGTTTATGAAGTGGAAATTAAGTCAGACATCTATTGTTCTGAAGGTAAGCTAAGATTTCATGACTTAACAGTGGCTTTCAGAAATATTTCAAGTATAAATTAAAATTGCTTTTCAAAATCTTGTCATTTTTAATTCCTACTTCAAATATAAGCATAGTTAATAAAAAGACATAAGTGTTTCAGTCCAAACCTAAGCATGATTCTTGATCAATTTAAAAGGTTTAATCAAAAGTAAAGAAATAAATAATTGTGTTATACTTACAGGTAAAAGAAAAAAACCAAGATTCGCAGAATAATTTCTGCCCAAATATTTTCAACCAAACTGATAAGCTTCATTCTTTTTCTCATATAAAATGCCATGAAAGATGACAATTACATATGCTAACAAGTGTCTGTGGAAAGAAAAAGGAAAATTTTAAAACTCTAAAATTGGAATTGAAGGAATTTCTCTCTCTATATATGTATATATATATACACACACACACACACACACACTACAGTTCCAAAGTTTGAGGTCACCACTGGTAATTTTTTTAAACTGACCCCCAAAATAGTTGTTTTGTACTTTAAATAAGAGAAAATTATTATACATGGCTAAAAAAAAAAGTGAGACATGATTTTTTTCTATTAGAAATTTTATTATGAGAAAAAAAGGTTTTGTTCTCATCAAAATATCCTCCTTCAGCTTTGATTAATGCAGTACAAATTTTTGCCATTCATTGCAAAAGTTTCTCAAAGTATAAGTTTGATAATTGATTCCATTCTTTTCTCAATGACTCTAAGAGCTCTTTTTCATTTTTTTTCACTCTTCTGTCAAGTTCATTGCATTCTAATTCTGGGAATGGCTTCAAACTTATGAACTGTAGTGTATATATATATGTGATAGTAAAGAACGATTGTCCTCATATGCTTATTATAATATGTAGATTTAGTAAGCTGATGAAATAAATTTGTGAAATAAAAAAGCAATAAATAATAATATTGATAATAAGACTAATAATATTTATAATATATTAGTAGGCCTTTTTACCAAATTGATGAATGATGAGAAAGATGTTAAAAATAAGAATTTTCAGATATGCCTGTGTCCTTTCTCAATGAGATGAGAAATAAAAAGATGAAGTGGGATTTTTGTTTTGTTTTTTTCCACATGTAGAGATCTACTTGGTTTAGGCTGGTTGTAGTAGGTTTGTAGAAGGTATTTTGTGGAAACTATATTCATTGAGCATACCTAAATTTCCATTTAAAGCTAGAATGTGTTAATTTATTTTAAAAGTGTATTTTAACTTAGACGTCTTGTATTCTTGTTAGCATTTAAATGAAGACATTAAAAAAACACAACTGCGCATCTAATGTTGTCAATGCTATGGTCTGGTTGGTTGAAATGTGCAACTACAGTGAAATTGTTGTTAACTTTGAAAGTCTTTTTATGAATATTAAACCAAAGACGGAATTTTGTACCTGTTTCACCAATATAATTTCCTATATTATATTTGAACTGTCACAAGTCAAGGGAGGAGGTCAGATTACTGTGGGTGTGATAGCTGGCATAAAAATACTATCAGTGATAAAATGTTTAAAAACTTGAAATCAGGTTTTATTACATGTTACATTACCTTGGTAAGTAGTTGATTTTTGTTCTCTAAATAATCTAAGGAGTGTATATCGATTTGGAGATTATTGCTTGGCATTAAGTGGGGTCTTACTAAATATCTTATTAATTGCATTTCAAAATTTTTAATACTGGAAATCTTTTAGTAAGATATCAGTGTGTGAATGTTGTAATTGAAATTTGAAACTTTGGGAATTCTGGGATTTTTTTGATTTTTTTATTATTATTTTTTATTTGTTTTGTAGGTTAGTAGAATATTTCTAATATGTTTGGAAGCCCTAGTGATTGATTTTTTGATAATTTTAAGGGGACAATTTTTATTGAGAAAGTAATTGAATAGTTATCCTATATGCTTTTTGCAATTCCCATTGTCAGAACACATACATTTCATGTGTAAACACTGGCTAGAAATTATTGATTTTTCTAGGTTGGTAGGGTGGCAGCTGTTAAAGTTTAGGTAGCAATGACTATTTGTAGGTTTAGTGTATAGTGATATGGAGATGTGGCTGTTGTTTGGACATACTAGTACATCCAGAAAGGAAATGGAAATGGCTAAATATTCCCTTGTAAATTTGATTGTGCAGTGAAAATTTTTGATGCATTGTTTGAAGTCACGGAGAGTGTTCTCACCATGTATCCATATAAAAAAGATATTACCTATGTATCTGTGGTAGTGGAGATTTTCTAAATGATATCTACTTAACATATTTCCACCAACTAGACCATAGCAATGATAACATTAGATGCATCCTTTTAGTGTCTTTATTTAAATGTCAACAAGAACACCAAAAGTCCAAGTTAAAATACATTTTTAAAATAAATTCACACACTCTAAATTTAAATAGGAATTTAGGTATAGTCAATGAATACAGTTTCCACAAAATACCTTCTACAACTCTAATTCTAGCAAACAACTAGCGGAAAACTAGTAGATCTTTTCAGTAACATGCAAAAAAAAAAAAAAACAAAAAAAAAAACAAATCCCAAAATACCAATTTTTAACATCTTTCTCATCATGCTTCCATTTGGTCAAAAGGCTGATTCATATACAATAAATATTATTAGTCTTATTATTAATACTATTATTTTTGTTGTTTTTATCTCATAAATTTATTTCAGCAGTCTATTATATATATATATATATATATATATATATATATATATATATATATATATATATATATGATAGTGGGTTAGCCAATCTGTATCAGTGACAAAATACAAATTAAACTGACCCTCTACTATTTTTGCTAAATCAAATGCAACATAGACAACAAGAAGAGAAATAATCAAATAGGCAGATATTTGTTTTAACAGAAAATATTTTTATATAACAAGTACACACGATATAATAAAGTGGTTTAAAACACTTTAGGGTTCTTGGTTGTGTGATCAAGGGTAATATAAAAGGTATTATGCTATAGATCTGGTAAGGAATTAAACAGTTTATGTTGATGGTGAAATTGAATGAAATAGATTGCTTGACTTACTGTAGAGTTGTCTCACTTTGACTGATATAATTACGATTTCTTTTATGTTGTTAAGATATTGAGTTGGTAACCCTAACCCTGCTGAGACTTCCACAAGTTGGGTTGATGTCAATAAAAATTAACTTTTAGAAGGATTCGTGTGACGAGTTGATTATTTTGAGGGCTCACTGACCAAGTCACATCAAAGTTTCATATTTATGAGTTTTCTTGATTATGTGGGAGCTTGAGAACATTTACATTTTTTTGGTGCGTTAACTCTGAACGGATCAACTCAAGATCAACTTGAAGTCAACGATACAGATGTAGGCAGAAACATGACATTATTATTTATGGACCAATCAGAAAGCAATGTTTTGTACTGAACTCTGGAACCGATTATGGGTTGAAGAATAGTAGGATAGAATGAGCTCCCTAACTTGAGTTGGCAGTAAGTCTAGAAGGACAACCCTGAATTTAAAACAATGGAGAAGGACATGAGAAATGTTATGATGTTGATTTGGGGTTAGTAGAGACAAACGCCAAATAACACGTAACAATAAAAAGGGTTTTAATAGGTTGGTAAAAAGGTACAGAAATCGCCTGAGTAGTCAATAACTAGCTCAGCTAAGAACTTCTCCGTCTATCTGTCTTCCCCATGTCAACTGACATGCCAATATTTAAAGTCTTTGTTCACAGACGCAGACAAGTTCATCTTCAAGAGGGGTGGTAGGTTTCTGACACAGCAAGAAACAACTCCACTATTTTTCCAAAAACATTATTGTAATTCACAGATAATAAAAAAAGGAATCTTTGGCAAGTCATGATCACCTACATCCTGAAAGGACATGATATTTAAAAAAGATGTTACTTTCCATCTTCAGTTATACAAACCAAACCAAATTTATTTCAGTCTTTACTCTGAATACAATATACATTCGTCTAGAACCAATAAAATATTGTAACAATTTACTTAACTTTGTCTGTTACAAGATTAGAGTATCAAGTGAAACTCAAACAAGTTTGGGTCTGTCAGTGGATTTGTTAACTACAACACGTGGCTAATGAATGAAATATAATAAATAAATTGTAATAGCAATTTGCTTATTGCAACAGAAATAGCAAAATAAAGTCTGAAACAAAATTAGGAATTATATCTTTCTCTAGATCAGTTAAATTATTTGCAAGTATGTATAGGGACAATTTTTTAAAACATCAATTTTCTCCAAAAGAATTAAGGAGCATAGAATATTAAGTCATTTTTAAGGATTTAACCCAAGATGTGTTCCATAAATAATGTCCAATAAATCAGAAGATAATTGTCAATCCTGTATATGATGGAAACAATTATATTCCCTAAAAATGTTGTTTATTATAATTAAATCTAGCACAGTATCATTGAAAAAACAAGATGAGCTGCTCACTAGCCCACAGACTAGGATCAATGTCTACTGTCTGTAAGCTCTGTGAAAACTGTTATAATGACACATTATTCATATCACCAAATATTTAAAACTAACAAAATATAGACTTATTTTTTATTTCTATGACATTCCAAGTACTTTTTCAGTAATATTTTTCATTACTCTAAAAGAGAGAATAGGCTTGAAATGATGCTGAGTTCATTTTGAATTTCTCTGCTTCTTGCTTGGAGTAAATCAAATATCAAGATTCTGAGAATTGTATTTGTCAACAAAGGAATTGCTGACAAAGACGAAAAAAAAACTATGGAAAAAAAATGATCATAAATAATTTCTTAATTGTACAAAACTTAAATATAGCTTGAAGAAACTGTGACATACTGAAAATTACTGCCAGAAATAAAAAGGTGGGATAAATCCTCTTCAGTGGTCAGCTTTTTGGTCAATCCTCATCAAAGAGGATCATTGATAAGTTTGAAATATTAAACAACAAAACAGAATTACCAATAAAAATGTAGCAAAGAAAATGTTGAATTACCTTGTCAAACCTAGCGACAGCATGTCACATGTAATTTATTTTGGAAAATGTAACGAAAAAGAAAGTTACTTACTGAGAAAAAGGGCATGTGTTCTGCATGATATGCCAAAGACGGAATATCCAAAATAGAAACAAGTCAGTCACAGATGTTGCCATAAATGTATCTGAGATATGCTGATTGTGTATCCTCTCCTACTTGTCAACCAATGAAAAAATTGTTCCATTAATAAAAGCAGTTTGTGTTCTCAAATTGGTGAGAAAAACAATTTTGTTTATTTTACCTCATCCGTTGACTGGTGTGTCAGATTTCTAACTGTTTATGTGTATTGGGATTTGTGACACAGGACCTGCGAAT